ACGCAATAGGCGTCATCGATGTTGTAGCCATTTCTGTTACGAAGACAGAAATTATTGAAAATGCAACTTTACAAACACACTAATTGTCTTAAGATTGTTGACTCATAAGTGTTCGTTTGTGCAAAAACAAAGTTGTTCGACAAACCTTAAAGCGCAGATGAGTAATTCGAATGTTGACGAATGATTCGAGCCCAACAAATTCACGTTGTGTCTTTAAGACAATTTGTCCCCTTCACCGGTACCCAAGGTTCTTGAACAATTGTCTCCTAGGATAGAACGGATCGTCTTTCCTATGAAGCGGTACTTCTTCAAAGGAAACCTTTGAACGCAACTTTGCAGATTAATCCCACGAAAATGACAATAATGAAGAATAAGAGAGCAGCAGAAAAATGCCGCACCAAAACACAAATGTATTTTGTTTTATTTAAAAACAATGAAGAGTCACGAAGAACCGAAAAGTTTCGTTCGGTTCATGAACAGACATATCTATCCGAAAATAAACGAGTAAACAATCACGAACAAACATATCTATCAATAAAATAAAATAAAATTCAGAACAGACATGTCTGTTCGGTGAAAAACAAAATTGTCTGAACCACACTTCTCAATCACCTTCTATGGGATTTGGATACCAAAATCCCAATAGCGAAGTCACTAAGAAGCTGAACAAACAAGTAAAACGAAAACTTGGTTGGGTTTAAATTTTAGATGAAAGTTATGAGCCGTTAAAGTGAGATGGCACAAGCATCATATGAATGAAATTTTATAGGTTTCTTAAGTAATATTATGTTAATTATTGATTAACTGCATGCTTAGGTTTTGAAACAATATGAATAATTGGATTTTTGAGATAAAAAAGAGAGGAGATTTTGACATAGGGCTGTGCTTAAACCAGCTCTTCCCTGATGTAATTAATTTGGTTTGAGTCAATATAGGTTGATTCAATCTTGAAACACTCTTAGTCTATGCTCTTGTGTATTAAAGCCGTGCAATTTGATTGTATTTCTCTGAAGAAATATGCGCTCTTCTAAAAGGTATTTGTGTTTTGTAGAATGTCTATTGAGCTTTGTGTGGAAGCAGCACCCTCTACAAACCGTAAAATCTCGAGGATTACTTAGTGGACTTAGCCTTGTCGTGAGTGTAGTAAGTCAAGTGGAAGGTCAAACCACTATAAATTTATTTTGCATCTCTTCTCTCTATGACTCTTTCATTATCCGTTGGATAGAAAGTACTACTCCTGCATAACTATTTTCCTGCAAAAGCAATACACCATGCACGTTCTTCATGAAGAAGTTTAAATTTTCTTAAAACAACCAATTCGCCCTCCTCCAACAGCCCACTGTACACATTCCTACAACAGCACACTATACATGTTCTTCACGAAAAAGTTTTTAATTTTCTTAAAACAACCAATCACCCTCCTACAGCAGTACACTGTACACATTTTCCACGAAAAAGTTCTAATTTTCTTAAAACAATCCATTCAACCCCTCTTAATAGTTGCGTTAACCATTTCATTAATCTCTTTAGACAATATTTGTGTTTGTTGATAGGAGCAATGAAAAATCTATCTCACTAACCAAAATGAATCTCTTGAATAATTCTTTCTGGATGACCATCATAGTAAGTGGGAAATTACCAAAATCATATGACATAATCTTTTTCTTCTGGTCTAATTAGAGGGAATTCATATACCCATCATTAACATTTAATAATATTAGAATTTAATAATTATCTCGTCTGGCACTATAAAAGACAATGAAAAAAAATTGAGGATGAAACCTCTTTGAAGCTTCTTGTAGTTGTAGCTACCGATTATTGAAAAGAATAATACCTGTGGCTTAAAGAAAAGCTTCAACCTTCAGAAATGTTAAGGACTTCGGTTAACACGGAAATGCTTCAATTAAACGATGAATTTGGGTTCCAAGGTATCCAATCTCACATCATCAGAAAAATGGAAATTTGATCGGGCAGAACCTTTTTTGGAGCTGTGGAGAATCAATTGGGTAGAGAGAGAGTTGAAAAAAAACTATAAGCTGACTGCTTATATACAACATTCGGGCACGAAAAGCCGACCGTTTGACTACTTTGAAGGCTCCGACTCAAAGCAGTTTCTAGTATGACAATCTCTTACTTCTCAACCAACTACGCAAACTCTAAAGGGATTGACCCCACAATATTTGTGGACGTAATTAGAATGAGGCCCCAAATATATTTAAATTTTGTGTCACCTTCTATATTGTTTGACAAACCAGATATTTTTCAAATATTATTACATTGCTCGAATCAAAATGAACATTTTTTTATTTGAGAGATGTGCAGATATACTTGGGTTTTCTTTCGTATTGCAATTTCCAACACACCCATGAGCACAATCCATGGAAGGTCCACAAGAAGTGTAAAATGCTCACACTTTATCATTTTTTTTATTATTATTAATTTCGACCGAGAAGAAGGCAGAATTAAAGCTCATTTTTAGTCATCAATCCACGGAAATCACGCGTCCATTTCCTGCGGAACTTGCTTTAGTGTTGATTCTATTCATATTCCCCAAATATGTAGGGGCACATCTTTGATTTACACCATTTCAACACTTGATAACGAAAATACATCATAAAGTCGTAAAACAATATTATCCTATCTTATCATGTTCTCGTACTTAATTATTATGACACGTCGTAATACTCTGCGTTACAATAGACGCACGATATATTCCTACATCTTTTGCCCTTTGTTTTGATCCAGTGGCTTTGAACACAGTAATTTTATTATGCTAATTAAATTTGACAGTTGACATTGACAAAGTTTTGATTGAGCAATTGACAACACAAATCGAATGGATAACTGACATTAAAGCACTTTGTATCGGATGGATGACAGGGGATATGGCATAATCCATGCGCACAACAGCACATGAGCGGCCCCATCTTCCTCGTAGTTTTGAGAGGCCCTAAAATCAACAGCAATCAGGGGCATGACTTTTGGTAGTCTTGTTAATTTATTGGCAAAAAAGGTGTTGTTGATCTCAACCGTTGAAAAATGTAGAGTCAACATGAGATCCACATAGTTGGATCTTCAGAACTGAGTACTCGAAGAGCATTTGTTAACCATATCCGATGAGAGGATCTTTTCTTATTTTTTGGTATCCTAATTAGACATAATACGAGAAAGATTGTGACGACTTTTTTTATTCAAGATGGATTTCCTTACAAAAATAATTCCCAAAATAGATCTCTCTTGAAGCTATTTCCCAAAGTAGACTTCTCCATGCCACACCATACTTTAAGACTGCATGGTCATCACGTCCTCATCCCTATCACTTCTACATCCATATTGCACACAAATTTCGACCAAAAGAAAAATAAAAAATTAACCCATCACATATAATTAGTTCCCAAGAAAAAGTTGCACCCATTCAGCCGAGTTTTAATTTATTGAGCTGTTATCCCACAAATTTTAATACGTTATTAAGCTCGACATTGAAAATTTGAATGGCAATATTTTGATACAGATATTTAAAATAAAGCTTTTCTCAAGACATAATGGTGTTTTTTCATGACCTAAGAGCACGATCGAATTAGGCCGACTACCCGGAGAAAACTAGGACAACAATACACTGCCAAGATCCCCCATTTAAGATATATGGTGTTAATAGAAAAATATTATTGACAAAAATTTTTTTTCCCTGATTGCATCCTGGATTTCAATTATTTTTTTCAGGGAGGCATTCATCCATCAAGCACGCCCAATTATTAAAAGCACCATTAGGAAAAAAGAAATACATATTACAATGTGAAAATATTACATTTTCTATTCTTTCCAAAATATATTTTGCATTCTCAAAACTTCTGTCACTTTATCCCGAAAGGGCATAGACCTCCCCTTTTCAGGGGATTATCTCGAAGAAAGAACAAGTTATTGCTAACGGTAAAATGGGAGGGATTTGGATAGGAGCATACTTTGAGTCAGAATCGTGGGGAATAATGCTTGTTCATTTCTTCTAGCTTAAAGCTCTAGTGACCAAGCCCAAGCGACTGTTTACAAAAAAAAAAACAAGTCTCCGTATCTAATTGTGCCTTTTTGTTCACTTTTTCATTATCTGAATTAATCTTATTATATGCATTTGTCCGTTTATTTCTAACAAAACATGTATTGAGTAAGTTGTCATCCTCGTGAACTACAATGTCCAGCATATTATTATTTATGATTTTTTTCCATTTGTCATTTGAGGAAGTATATTAAACATGTTGACAAAATAGATTTTACTCTGGAACAAAATAAAAAAGAAAAGCAATTGGTTGTGATGGAATGTTACGTGACAATAAAATTGGTCAAAGGCAAGTTCTTGTAATATGGTCCGTTCATAATATCCAACCACTATTGACAAACACCTCTAATTGAATAAGTGATAATCTTCACTAAAATGCTAAGAAAAATAAGGTCCACTTGAAATAAAGAGTTCGACAGAAAATGAGATAAAAAGGAAAAAAAGTATCACTGAATTATTTGATTGTGGAGAATCTGTTGGTTGAGAATTTCTAAATGTGACACTGAAAGAATAAAATATATGTAAAATGTTGCAAATTATAAATTTAAGGAGAGAGTTAAAAGTGACTTGGATGAGAGGGTGACCTTGATTTAAGTTTTAATAAGGTTTGGGTGTCATGCCCCGAAGCCTATCGAGCGCGCGACATCCCAAGCTCGGTCGAATTCGTGCGACGTCCCAGGGTATCGCCGACCCAATGAAACTTATCAGAGATTTATACCAGTCAGCGAAAGCCATAAATTCCCGGACAATAATTGACTAGGGGTGACAAGGGAGTAAAACACATCCATTCTCTATTTAAACTTATATAATATTCACAATTTACAAACCACAATATTTACAAGCACACCGAACCCCCAAACTATAAACCACCGACGTCCAAAAAAGATCGATAGCCTGGGTACCCTATCTCAAAAAATGGTACACTCCAAAAAGTCTACTCCCAACCCCCACACTAGCCTCTACGCCCTCTGCTTGGCGTCCACTCAGAGTCGGATTCCTCATCAACCGCATCTGAACTCCCCTGAACTGTCGGCTCCTCTGAGGACTCCGGTTCAGCCTCGATCTCGTTTGGATTGTTTATGTCACCCGACTCCGCTGGAGCCTCGACTCGCTCCTCTTCAACTGGGTCCTCGTCCGACTTGTCCTCGAGCACGAATTCGGGATCATACCATGGCTCATACTCGGGTACGTCCTCCGGTTCCTCTTCAGGCTCTGCTTCAGGCTTTACCTCTGGGGCTTCTTCAGGTTCTGCTTCAGGGTCTTCTTCTTCTTCTGGATCCTCCTCCGAAATTACCTCCAGGTCCACATCCATGGGGTCGTACCCTGCTTGAGACTCCTCCAGCTCAGGGTCAGGTTCGGCCACGGTAGGTTCAGGTGCTACACGTGCATGCTGATGCCTTGACTGCGCCAGACTAGTCTCCAAGCTAGTCATCTCGCTATCGGGCGGGGGTATAGCTGACGGATCCCAATCCCCAACGCCATCAAAGGGTACGTCGAAGCCTCAAACGGGACCAAACTCGTCTATCCCGTCTCTGAACATCCAAGCTGTATAAGTGTGAGCTTGCCAGAGGGGTAGTCCTATGTCTACCCAAACTACAGAGGTATGCTAGACCCAGGTCATGTTGTTGTCTATAGGGTATTCTACAACGTCATGGTCGGTGTACATAGGAATCCCAAAACGCTGCAGCGGCAGTGGCGGAAGATTCATGGCTCAGGCCGGGGTTCTGAAATTGTTGGTTGAAACAACCATAAGATCACATCTCAATAAGTACACCCCCTAAATCCCACCTAGGCTATCACGTACCTCCAGACAAATCAAACATAACATCATCCAGTAAACACACCATTCACACAATTGTACTTACCTGGGCTTTTCATACGTGCAACCTGCACGTTAGCCACAATTACATAATTGCCAACCACATGTACATTCCCAAAGCATTTCACACACGAATTTCACTTGACTCGCCAGTGACCCGCGTAATGGAACCGCCTCAGGTTCACTGCGACCATCTCGTACTTTCCACTCAACTCGTCAGTGACCCGCATAATGGTACCGCCTCAGGTTCACTGCGACCATCTCATATACACAACACTCCCGGTCCCGCGTAACGGTACCGCCTCAGGCTATGTATCTTGCCCTCGTAATGGTACCGCCTCAGGCTCAACATCCGTCTCCTAGTGCACAACCCGCGTAATGGTACTGCCTCAGGTTGGCCATATTCACAATACTTCTTGGCCCACGTAATGGTACCGCCTCAGGCCATGTATCTTGCCCGCGTAATGGTATCGGCTCAGGCTCAACACCTACCACCTACTGTACAACCCGCGTAAGGTACCGCCTCAGGCTCAACACCTACCACCTACTGTACAACCCGCATAATGGTACCGCCTCAGGTTGACAGTCTTTCGATAATACCGGGCATCGTCCCGCGTAGTCGTACCGCCTCAGGACGGATTAATTCCCCGCATAATGGTATCGCCTCAGGGATTCTCACAACCACACATACCACACCGCACACGATTTCTCACTCGTTCATTTACTCGACTCCCACATGCCAATAAACTGGCCAATCACACTTGGCCCGTGCACGCACCAAATCACACACATTTCTCATGTTTAATAATCACCCAACACAGCCAATTGTCAATCAAATTCAATTCAGCCCAAGCGTGCACATAATAGCCCACATTCAAATCAATCAGCTCATGATCAAACATACAAGGCCACTCACGGGCTCACAATCACAGCCAATATCATGAGCACAAATTCGGCATTTCCAAACTCATTTCAAGTCATAACGAACATCACAATTCAGCCACCATACCACACACCAAACCGACACCATTTGTCTCTAAATCGGACCATATGCTCCTCATTTCACGCCCCAAATTCCAGCACTCAACTCCACAACAAATCAGTCCCAAAACATAACAAATTCACTCACAATTCAACCAATTAAAGTTCCCCAAGTCGGTCTACCCATATAACCCCTAAACCGACACTAATTATCCCGATTCGGTTCTAATTTCGTCCATCGATACCTGAAGTCCTAAATAGAGTTTAGGGAGCGACTTACACGAACTCTAGACTAGCTCGGCTAGAGTGGAAAGGGGGCAGCGATCAGCGGTGAGCGGCGGCGAGCGGTGAGGCGGTGTGGGCGGACGGCGAGCGGCAGCGCGACTTCCTTGGCCGCTGTTCACGGCCACGAGGGGAGAGAGAGAGAGGGAGAGACAGCGTGAGGGTGGTGGTGCGGCTCGGTGGCAGGACGGCGGTGGCACGGCGGGCGGACAGCCGGATGGCAACAGCGAGGCCGAGGGAGAGGGGCGGTCGGCGGTGAGGGGTAGAAAGAGAGTGGGAGCCGAGAGAGGTGAGAGAGTGAGGAGAGAGAGAGATTTTGGACTTAAATAGTCCAAAGTCAATAATTGAAATGCCAAAAAGACCATCATGCCCCTCTCTCACAAATTCAATCGACGGCCAAGATTCGATCTTATCTTGAGATCAACGGTCCGGATCGAATCTGTTCCAAAAATATCCAAGGGCAATTTGGAGATTTCATAAAAATCCAAAGGCAAAATTGTCATTTTGTAAAGTTAGGGCAAAATAACCAAAATGCCCTTCTCCAATTGCATTGGCCTTAACAAACTTCCAGGGGTAAAATGGTCATTTTCCATTTCTCGCCGAAATTCGATTTTTCTAAAGGATTCGAACAAATCCGAGGCTACCCGAGCAAATGACAATATCGTCCTAACGATTTGTAGTGACTTTCCAAATTTCCAATGCCCAACTCGGTCTCTAATTTAATGACTAAGTTCCAAATAACGCAACTTGAGCAAATCTCAAACTAACGAGCGGCTTTTGGAGAAATTCGCATTTTTGACTCGTGGCCGATACTAAATCAAACCACGTTCAAGTTCACTCGGGTCGTGACGACCTCGGTTGTCACTTATTCGCGAGGTTCGATCGCTAGTTCCAACCGGCACGATCGTTTGGTATAGATTCAGGATCATTCGTCAATTCATTTTGTGGTCAAGCGGAATCACCCGCGATCCACTAATGTGACATCGGCGAATTGATCCCTGACTATCCTTGGATCGGCCTACACTGGCTCCAAATGTCACCTCGACAATTCTCATGGTCGAAAGTCGATTCACGATCGAGTTCTTTGGTCGCGTGAATTTAAATCCCTAATTAGCCTTTCCCTAACGGTTAGTATTCCCGAAGTGATCAATTCTGGGCGAGATCTAACTACAAGCACGTCCATAAACTGTTCATTTCATAAATCCCAAGTGGGTCGAATTTCAGAATGTCACAACTCTTCCCCTCTTATAAAAATTTCGTCCTCGAAATTTACAAGTCAAACTAATTACTCAAACAAGTGGGGGTATTGATGTTGCATTTGTTCTTCACTTTCCCACGTCGCGCCTTCCGTCCCGTTATGTTTCCAAACCACTTTGACCATCGAGATCGTCTTGTTCCTTAAAACCTGTTCTTTTCGATCTTCGATCCTTATTGGTCTCTCAACATACGACACCCTGTCGTCCACTTCTATCTCCTCATAATTCAACACGTGAGTTGGGTCCGGTTCATATTTCCTCAACATCGATACGTGGAACACATTATGCACTTGCGACAAATTTGGCGGAAGTGCAAGGCGATAAGCTAAATCTCCAATTCTTTCTAAAATCTCAAAAGGTCCCACGTACCTGGGACTCAACTTCCTTTTCTTACCGAATTTGGATAGTCCTCTCATGGGTGATACCTTAAGAAATATGTGATCCCCTACTTGAAACTCCAAAGGTCTTCGCCTTCTGTCTGCATAACTCTTTTGACGGCTTTGCGCTGTTTTCAACCTTTCGCGTATAATCTTAACCGCCTCAACCGACTGTTGGACTAACTCTGGCCCGGTTATACTCCTTTCTCCCACTTCGTCCCAGCACACGGGCGTCCTACAAGCCCTGCCATACAATGCTTCAAATGGCGCCATTCCGATACTTTGCTGAAAACTATTATTATATGCAAATTCGGCTAAGGGCAATTGCTCTTCCCACTTACCCTGAAAGTCCAATACACATGCCCTAAGCATATCCTCCAAAGTCTGAATTGTCCTTTCAGACTGGCTATCCGTTTGTGGATGTTAAGCTGTACTAAACTGCAGCTTTGATTCTAATGCCGTATGTAGACTTTTCCAAAAATTGGCGATAAACCTAGGATCCCGATCTGAGGTAATCGTCACTGGTACTCCATGTAATCAAATTATCTGTTGCACATACAACTCAACATATCGATCCAATGCAAAGTCCTTTTGCATGGCCAAAAAGTGTGTTGATTTTGTCAATCTGTCGACAATCACCCAAATGGAATCGTGGTCTCTTTGACTCCTTGGTAATCCCGTCACAAAATCCATAGTTATATATTCCCATTTCCATTCTGGGATTTCCAAAGGTCGCAATAATCCTCCGGAATTACAATGTTGTGCCTTCACTTGCTGGCATGTCAGACACTTGGCCACATGTCTGACTATGTCTAGTTTCATACCATTCCACCAATAGTGTTGTCTCAAATTCTGATACATCTTGGTACTACCTGGGTGGATACTATAACTACTACGATGCGCTTCTAAAAAAATTTCTTCCTTAAGTTCCGCATCATCCGGCACACATAATCGTCCACGGAACTTCAATATCCCGTCTTTGGATATCCGGAAGTCCGGCTTTCTTTTGGTATCATCCACCTCTAGAATCCTTTGGATTTCCTGATCCGTAGACTGCAAAGTCTTAATCTTAGCTTGGATCTCCGGTTCAATCCTTAACGCGGCTAGCAAACTCGAGACTTGACTTACTTCAAATTTAAACTCCGAGTCTCGCACTTTTTCTAACAAAGCCCATTCCTTGACCATCAAGTGTGCGATGCTTGACTTCCGACTCAATGCATCGGCTACTCGGTTGGCCTTTTCGGGGTGATATAAAATATCACAATCATAATCCTTAAGTAATTCCATCCACCGACGCTGTCTCATATTCAACTCCTTTTGAGAAAACAGATATTTAAGACTCTGATGATCTGTATATATATGAAATTTCTCTCCGCATAGATAATGTCATCGAATCTTAAGGGCGAATACTACAGCGGCTAATTCCAAATCATGCGTCGGGTAGTTCAGCTCATGCGGTCTTAACTGCCTTGATGCGTAGGCTACTACTTGTCCATTTTGCATGAGTACACACCCCAGTCCTTTCAACGACGCATCGCTATAAATTTCATATCCTCCGGGTCCTGATGGAATAGTCAACACCGGTGCCGTGGTCAATCTATATTTCAACTCCTGAAAACTCCTTTCACATTTGTCGGTCCACTCAAACCTTGTTTCCTTTTTCAACAAATGTGTCAACGGTGTCGCTATTGCCGAAAATCCTTCCACGAAACGTCGG